AAGTGATTGCGTGTAATCTCATTAATTATCTTTATCGGAACGTCTTTGCATTTTTAATTATCAATATAAAAAATTGAAAGACTGGATTAAAGCTATTCGAACCTGTTTCGCCATGTCAGGGGTTATTCTAGTTCAGTATCATGTTGTAAGCAAGCATTGGAACAGAGCGGCAAGGACTGACGAAATAGCAAAAAAGATAGAAGAGTTTTTTGCACCCAAAAACTTCTTCAATAAATTTACAACGCTCGATTTTTTTCTTGGTAAGTTGCAAATGCGATCGACACGTCAAAAAGCAATTATAATAAATCACTTTATATATTTTGTTGCCTCAAATCCGTGTATGTTGTATTATTGATTCGAATGATGCTGCACCACGTGTGCTTTGTAATAATTGCTTTAAATGACACTACTTCATTTGCCTACAAATTAGGTACTAGCAAGGAAGACGAACGTCGTTACTTATTGCTCTCTGAAGATTCTGTTAAAACTATTCGTTTAGGGTTGGAGACATTTACGTCCGCTTCATTTTCGTCTATGCCTTCTTCACATTATACGTATTCAGATGTTGTACGCGTCTCCATTAATGCACCGTCAATGTTCAATAAAGTTACCAAAGATATACAAAAATATAATAAAGGAGTTCGCACAGCTTTAAAACTTCGTGGAATGAAAAATATGTGGGAGAAAGCACGAAATATGATTCAAGAAAAAAAATATTTATTTGTGGCAGTTGATGTTGAAAGTTATGAACGAGATCATTCTTGTATCCTGGAGGTTGGGTGGAGTATGTACGATTCTAAGAACGATTTAATTATGGATCGGCATTTCTGCGTGACTGATTATAGACATCTGAGAAACGGACAGTTTGTTCCAGATATGAAGGATCGATTCACCTTTGGAACTTCAGTATGGGCAAACCAGAAAACGATCAAAGATGAATTCACTAAAGATTTGGAATCACAGTTGGGAAGTGTAGTACTTGTAGGACATGATATTAAAACGGATGTGAAATATCTAGAAAGCATGGGAGTAAATGTTTCTAGTGTGATAGAAAGGTTCGATACTGCTGACATGAACGCTGCAAGGGTCGGAAAACCGAATGAAAGAATTAATCTTGGAAGATTGCTAGATGAACTGGACATTGAAAATTACAGCTTACACAACGCTGGTAGGAAGCTCACGAATAATCTTTTTAGCTATTACATCCCTAATCTAATTTCTCATTTATTTATCTTTTTTGTCAAGGAAATGATGCACATTACACATTACGTCTATTTCTTGAACTTTGCAAGCTCCCACTTGCTCCGCCAGAAGAGCCCAATGCCCCTCAACCTGTTAGTGATGATGATTGGATCTAATAATATATATATATATCAAATACTATTCTTTAGAATGCTGATGTATAGATTTTAATAGTAATATTCAAATCAAGTGAATATGATTTCAATATTAATTAGATTTATTTTATCCAAATGAAATGTTTATTAACGAAGCTATCAGGTTTGACAAAATAAAGGTAGTAGAGAATGCTAAAATCCTAAGCTTTGTAAAAATGCTTCAGAACACCTAGTAACTTGCTCGAAGACTTCCTTATAAGCTTCGTTTCCACTGTTGTAAGGATCTGAAAGTAAGCATAATCTATTAATATCTATTAATATAAAATCATAAATTAAGTTCTCGAATTTGGGTCAAATCCCGAAAGAACATAATACCGACAAAGTTAACCGGCACTAGATATAATGTTGGTCGATTTAGTCAGTGTTATGTTCTTCGGGAGTTTGTTTTTCGGGATTTTGACCCAAAATCCAAAATCTCAAATAGAAGATAGATTCAACAGATTCACCTTCTATAGTAGTTTTTCCTTGGGGATCATATTCACCAAATAATTTAACTATAATAATTTCATAGAAATACGTGTTGTTATAAAATGGATTATGGTACACAATTACACAAAAATTTATTGAAGGAAATAGTAAAATACCAATTGCTTTTGGATTTTTAGCCGACTTCATCAATTTTTTAGCCTCTCTTAAATTCATGTCATCCATGCAAAAAATATAATCGAATTCATTAAAATCATTTATTTCCACCTTTGAAAAGAATAGAATAAGTTTCTATTCACGGTTAAAATATATCAAAAACAGAATTGATGGGTAAATTACGAACCATTCTTGCACTATGATCTATACGTATGCCACTATCGGTGCATAACTTAATCGTTCGAGGATGAGGTGGTTCTCCTAAACACAAATATATTAATCATTCATAATTCTAACGTATCGGTAATTATAAAGAAATAAATATAATTTTATTTACCAATATGATATGAAGATGTCCCCGCGCTATCAACGATAAAACGTGATTGTAGACCTTTTTGCTGTATTCGCTTATTACGTTTAATTAACATCTTAGATGAATAAATTTAATGCAATTGAAAATTACCAGTGCAGTATGAGCAAACACTGCTTCAGCCATCGGACTTTATATGTAAAATCGACATAAAAAATTATATATTAATTCTAAACATACGAAGAAAAATAGCATATAAACGAAAAAAAATCAAATATAAATTACCTTCGACAAATATTGCCTAAAGATTTAAAAAAGAATGCCAGTTAAAATACCATATTTGCGTAGCAACTCCTTTTCTAATCAATTACCTAAACACACAAAAAGAACTTTTATCTTTTGATCAGACATATTTGGTATCGAGAAGTAATTGCACAAAGCATAATGCAATTTAACAATACGTATCATGTGTTTAATAGGCCTGTTTATTATTGGCTGGCTAAAATTGTAAAGACCCATTATCAGTAGTTTTTTTTAAAATATTATACCAGGCAAAATGATTTAATTTAATAGGTAATTCTCCAGTCATCTGGTTCTAACCACCATTAGATGCGTTTTAATGAGCTTTACAAAAGTCTCTTAAATCAGAAAGATGATTAACTTAGTATAAAAAAAAGTTTTAGATATAGTAAAATTTATATATAAAAAAAAAAATTTTGAACCAGATGACTGGAGAATCACCTATTAATAATATATATGAGTGCCGCCAAGGAAAAGCCCAATGACAGGTTTTTCCTTGGTCGTTACAGTGTTTCCATCACCAGGGCAAAAAATACCTACCCATTTCAAAGTATGCATAAATTATTATCAAAATTACATAAGGAAGGTATTGTGGCGAATTGAATTTATTACTTTATTAAGTAAATCGTACTTTCATTTACTAAGTAAAATTGTTCAAATTATTATCTTGAAATATCAATAACTTTTTCATTAAGCTTTTTCTTTATAACTTTTGACGAAAGAAAATTAATTTCTGCGCCAAAGCTTATAATAAAAGACTTTATTAGTGAATACTTAACAAAATTTCAATGATACGTTTTTTCGGACAACTATGCTTAGTGAAAACTTCAGATATATAAATAGTTATTAGGTACTGTACGTTGTATATCTTCGATTCGAGCTCGTCACTTTGCCCTCATTAAATTAAGGATTGTAAGCTTTCTAAAGTAATATCGCATAATTTATGTAAGCAACAATTTTTTTTATACCTAGAAGAATTAGACATGTACTTAATCAAATAAAATTATAAGTGAAAAGATATTTTTGAACCTTTTTTTTATTAGTAAAAATTGTTAACTTCGTCATTTTACCCATTCTACCTTCTGTACAAGCAACAAAATTCAAATCAAGAACAATACTTTTTGAGTAGCCAGAAATAAGTGGGTATTTCTATCTTGTAATGCACATTAAGGCAAAGTTTTTGCTGCTTCATCCACATTACCATTTGCCACTGCCTACAGTACCCAGGATCAGGGTTAAAACGACACATAGCAAATGCCGGTCATTCAATAAGTATCATTCTTGATTCATATTATATCAGTATTATATGATAAAAATAATAGTATTATAATCATGATATTTCATGTCAGAAATACACGGGCCATATTAAGATTTAAATCTCAGTATATAGGCCTATTTTGAATTATATGTTAATTCGATTCAATTCAAATTTGGCACTGTTTTTTTTTTATGTATTAAGTGACTTTTTTTTGCTATACGCGTCTGCCACCTTTTCACGTATAGCACAGAGTCTGATTTCGTCTAGAAAGTATATCTACACTCTGTAATATCCCAATTATTAATCCAAGTTATGGATCTCTGACTTGGTTCACCTGTTTGACTCGGGCGATCCAGCTCACTGTTGAACTGACTAGTCTGTTTAGTAGACGGATATATTGATCATTGCAACGAATACCACAAAATCTGAAAAAAATAATGTACAGGTCTGGTGTTTGTGATGGTTAGTTGCTTAAATTGACATAATTTACTATATCTCATAAAAGCAAATTTAATCATCAGCGACATAAAACAAAATATAGTTAATTTCAAATTATATATATAAAAATTGATATATTTTTTTAAAAAATTTATTTACGCGACATAACATAATATAAAATATAATACAAGTTCCTATTGGACACTTAGAAATTGTCTTTGATAAATTACATCAGGATTTCGAAATTCTTATCTGATACGTATCACGATCAAAAAAAAAACGACCAAGCATTATTTGTACTAAGATCAAACAAGAGATACTGCTAAAATTCTGCAAGGAATTTTTTTTTTTAATATAAAAAACTTTGGATATTTCATAATTTTTTTTTATATTACACCTGATTTTTTAATTAATTGAAAGACGGAAAGTGGAGTAATATACTTTGCCCAATCAGAGATGACGCCACCGAAACCCCACACAAAC